GCTGCCTGGCGGTGATTTTCGGACAGTGGATAGGTGGCGGGTACGCCTACCCCCACTTACTCTTTTTATCAAATACGCGTCCTGGGATCCTTTGTGGAACCCGAAACCATGCTTAGTCACTTTTAAACGCAATTAACGACACCACGTAGGCAATTAATGTATCAAAAGCAAGAATCGCGTAGAATTATACCTTCTTCCTTAGCTAGCTATAACCTCCTTCACCTCCTAAACACCTCAAACATACCATACAACACCTTACTACTAAGTTCTCAGAGGTAGAAAAGTAGGAAGACTTGAAGAATGAATGGCTAGGATTGAAAGAATAAATGATGAACTCACTGTGTTGTTTTCTCCCTTCTATTTGGCAGACAATTGTTTGGAGAGGCAAAGAAATGAAGGCAAGGTGAAATGGTTCTATTTATATGGGTGCAAAACCCTAGGTAGATCACCAATGATTGGTGGAGGGCAAAATGGTCTTTTGGCTTACATCTTTAAAATATCAGACAAGGCCTTGTGGTTCACCTTGTATCATGAACCATGGGCTAGAAATGTTATCTTTTATTACTTTGGGGTTGAAAGTGAATTTTCCCAAAAGCTATATGGATGAACACTTGTTCAAAATTCCCTTTTGAATTCTCCCGGTCTCACTCAGATAAAATTCTCGATTTAAATCTTGATACGCGAAGTACCCGAAAACTTTGAAATTTTCGAATGGGATTCATTTCTTCGGTGTCGAATTAATTTAAAATGGCTCAAAATATTTTATTCAACACCGCTTTCTTTGTTAAAAATAAAAAATAAAAAATTATGGAGTGAAAATTAGCTATTTGGATTTTCTTAAATCCGAATTTATAAAATAAAATTTTGGGTTGTTACACTCAAAACCAGTGGTCTGAGGTACATACCTAATCTATTCACTTAGTTTATTTTAATAATTCATTGTTTAACTATATTTTTTTTTTTTTGAAACAGGAGAGTGAATTTGGGGATGAAGCTAGGTCTAACTAATGGTTGCACTTTCTAAAAAATACTAATGCACATTACGAAACAAAAAAAAAATAAATAAATAATAAAAATTGATCAAACTAAGTTTTAAATATAGAAGAAAAAATTTACCTTTGAAAGCTAGGTCTTCATACACCTTTACAAACTAGATTGAATAACTTCACACCCTGTAAGATGTCTCTGGCTTCTCAACCACTTTCACAGTGGTTCAGTGAATCTTTAAAACCTCAAATTTTATTACCTACAATAAAATTTAAGTTACCAAAGTGAACTGGAATTATATTATGAATTTAAAAATCTCAAATTTCAATAATTCAGTTTGCAGACATGTCAAAAAAACTTGATTAGATACTATAACACTCAGTATGAATTTGTCAAAGTGAACTGGAAATTATATTATAGATTTGTGGCAGACCAGTGGCAAATTATTATATTCCATACTTTAGAGCATACTGAGCAAAAATAATCAAGAATTTTGATGAAAACAAAAAATATTTTAATCCATTATTGATTAAAACTTATGGCCTATAGTAACTATTACTTTACTCTAGGCTAAATAAATAGTTACAATAATTGGGATATTTAAATCACAAAATAATTGAGATATTTAAATCACAAAAACAATAAGAAATGCGTTAAATTAAACCTTTAAATTTCACAAATTAGCACAAATTTATACACATTACATGAGATACTAGGCAAAAATAGACTTATCTGTACGAAACTACGAACACTCTAAAAACGGGTGGAATTATTCCTAAACCAAGTAGCACATTGATTAATGGTACGAACACTCTAAAAACTTTATTTAGATATACATGTATTTTTTCTCTATTTTATGTTGATAAATTTTATATATACTATACAATTCCTAAGTGCAATGAAATCTTTAATAATTGGTAGTTCCATTATTTGCAAAATGTAAACAAATTATATTTCGTTTATTTAATATATGTTCAATAATACATATGTTATAATTGCAATATAACAACATAGTCGTGCATCGCACGGTACACTACTAGTCTAAGAATAGTGATAAATTTAAGACAAGCTGAGTTAATTCACGAGAAAATGATAAGTGTACTCTCACGAGAAAACAAAATTAGCTTAAAGTACAAATCCCCATTTTGCATATTGTGCAAGCATAACTGTACTTGTCATAACTGTACTTGTTAATGCAAGTTATGGAAGGATAACATATAAATTTGATTGTCATGATACGAGAACTTGATTAGAATAAAGTACAAATTCAATTCACAAAAATACACCGGAAACTTGATTAGAATAGAGTGCAAATCCAATTCACACAAATACACCAAGAAAAGGGTATCGTGTATTGCTAATTTTCACCGCAAGATACAAAACCTTGAATAATCGAAGGTACAATCACATCTTTTTTTTTTGGATGTCGAAAGAAACTCCAACCACTATGCTCATATGCATAACTCACAAACCACACAGAAAATGTAAATCAAATTAGGAATACCCTAAGCAATAAACTTGACTAAGAAAGATTTTATTAAAATCAAACTTGTGACTTTCTTGTACAAGAGTCATGCTCCAATCACTCCGCCACCCTTTTTGGGACATAATCACATCTATTTTGATAGCTTAGTATTAGGATCTTTGGCAAAACAGAAAACAAATTTGGATATATGCAGAGATTGAGGGAAATTTTACACTGTTACAAGGAAATGTGGAATTTCTAAATTAGGGTGGCAGTGGCTTGATTTTGAGCCCTGCTCCTTTGTACATTTCAGACTGTTGATAGCATTTCAATTAAGAGATCTATTGAGAACAGATAATTGACCAGAGTCTCCATTCAAAAAGAAAACTTCCAAGGGTATGTATGAGGATAGTGACGCTTCCGATGAGCTAAAGCGATATGTGGGTTGCAGTATTTTGCTACCTTTCGGACATGGAATGGTTTGAAGACGAGGTCCTGTCCTCATCTGCCAAATCTGCACGAGAAGAACTCAAGAACTGTCAAATTTATCACGAGCAGGAACAAAACCACCTGAACTTTTGTGTCATCTCGGAAAATGATGGGACACCAACTTGTTTTGCAATAGAAATTGAGAGGGAATAGTTGATGCTCAAACAACAACGCGTCTATTCCATAGGGCAAACATAGCTAACATTTTATTACAGCTGCCATTGATATTAGGAAAATTGTGCAGATGATTTAAAAGTAGAGAACCCTTGCATTTATCTTGTTTTGAGGTTATAAGACAAATCATGCACTCTTGAAGAACATATTTTAAATTGTGCTAAAGTGAATCACAAAGGGAATAAAATCAGGTATTAATGAAAAGGTACCTCTACTATCCCTTTTCGCGGTGCATGAATGGCTAAACATAGGCAATAATCACTCTTTATATGTTCATGATGGGCAGACTTCAATGTGGAAGAATCTTTATTGACAAGCATCTCCATAAATAAGCAGCTTGCATCACGGTATCCCTGCAAAGACGAAGTTCATTTATATTGATCATGAATATCAGTATTCATAAGTTATTCAAAATCATGGGTACTAAGTGGAACCTTCCATAATCTGACTACAACAAGTGCCTGAGTGTCCAAGAGCAAGATACGACCAAGGGAATCAGTTATTGCAGCCAATGTTCCACTGGGCGATAATGTGAGTTTCTCACCCTTTCTCGGGTAATCCTTCAAGCAAGTCAGAGGAGAAGCTGTCGCACAAGTCACAGATTTGCAACATGAATACACAAGCTCCATCAAGATCCAGAAAAAGCAACACAAATAGGGCATTTGTTTAAAAAACAAGCACTAAAAAACCCTATTCTAGAATATGAATATCCCATAAATTCTAAAGCAATAAATTTGATAATCTGTATTTTTTTTCTACATGACAATATGTAAATAACTTCATATCATTGAGCAGCTGAAGAGAACTAGGTGTATTAGTCAATAAAATATCACCTTTAGCAAAGGGTTGAGGCTTTGGTTCTGGTTTTGTTGTGGGTGTTGGCTCACTTCGCCATAACATTTTCGAGATAGATGATATTGTTGAAAATGTAGCAGGCACTACTTTTGAGAGAATGGCCCCAACAATTGATCGGCTTTTGTCCACTGAAAGTCTTACAATTTTGAAAAATAAAAAAGTTATATCTGAGATCAGAGAAACAGAAACCACAGGAAAAAATTAAAAATTTGCAAAACTAACCTATATGCAGAAATCACAGCATCATCTCCAACAGTGACTGCACAATAATAACGCTGGCTTGACTGCCCAACAATAAAAGCAGCTGAATTCAAATACCAGAATAAATTCAGAAAGTTTCCATATGTCATATGGGGAAATAGCAACAGAATTCAAAATCTTGTAAAGAGAAGTTTCAAGATTCTAGAACAGTAGAACAATTATTGTTATGGCTCCCACTAGAAGTTAAGACAAAGAAGAAGTATACGAGTTAATAAGGGCAAAAAGGAAAATAATTACCTGATGTTCCATTAGAGGAGGGGGCATCACACCAATGATGGCAGCATCGACACACAACCCATATTTGTTAACATTCCATAGCTGGTAAGGAAGCCTTCCAAACGAATCTCCAGAATCTTCCATATATCTGTTAACTGGTTGATCCCACAACTGAGAATACCTTTCTTGAAACCATCTCCGAAGCATACTCTGCATCTCATATAATGCAAGCGTTAAAGGTATGATATCCTTGATGCTGGAATTCAAACACTAAACAAAGAGAGGAAGAATTTTGGGAATTTCAAGAAACAGAGCCTTGTTTCCATCATAGAGATATTAGTACAGTATATATTAGTAAGAAAACAATGCAGCAACCGCATTTGAGCATAGACATCATAAGTTGACAGGAATAAGACACTGGCAACAGTAGTTTGTACCTGAATATCAGATCCTTCAAAGCGAGCAACAGCACCTGGCATAACAACACAAACTTCCTCTAATGATGCATCCTGCATCTGATCTCTCTTAGTTCCACGAACCCTCAATTTTAGGATCTTTGCAGGGTTTACAAACTGCCAAATGAAATCTTCAGTAAGGTCTATACTTCAATGTTCAGAGTGCATATGATAAAAAGATTATTAAATGAATTACTATTGAAACCATGATCCTCACTCAGTGTTATATTGTTAAAATTCAGCCTTCTTTTTCAGTAGCTTTTCATTTTAGTAGACGTAACTTCCTAGATTGAAGTCTAATAAGTTCATTGGAGATGGAACTCGATAATTCACTGAAATTTAAAAAAAAATTCTCAGATATCAATCAATCTAATCTAAAATTATATAAACATGGTGAAACGGAAGTACCTGTTTGTGAATGAGATCACCACGGAGAGAGTAAATGAGCAAATACCCAGAAGAGGTGCCGACAGCGAGGACTTTGATATCATCAAATACCAACCAGGCCAGAGCGGACAAGTACTCAGCCTGGATCGGGGAGAGTTCGGGTATGATCTTAGCGGGCGGGTCGCCGGCATCGGTCCACTGGAGAACGAGGATGATTGATCGGCTAGCAAGCGCGAGAGAATGGGTATCCAGAGCAGTGAGGAGATTAGGGTTTTCGACAAGCCAGCCTTCCTTGCCGGCGCCTAGATCCGATAGGTCGTCGCAGGCGATGCAGCCTAGCTCCGTTGTGTGGCTACTTCGTCGAGCCATGAGATTTCCGGGAATCGCTGCGCTTCCGAATTGAATTCCGATTGTTGTATTGCGATCCGATGAATGAGATTTTATTTGTTTGATTTGTTTAAGATTTTAATTTTATGAGTCAATGAGATTCTTCATTCTTGTCTTCTCATATTTTTTGAATTTCATTTCTAAATACTCATTACTGAGTATAACATATTCTAAGTATATAAATATTCCTTTTAATATTGGATAAAAATACTCATGAACTACAAGATTTTTATCATATTTTGTAAACTTTTTCATAAATCAAAGATTTTTATTGTATTAAAAAAGATTCAAAATATTTTATACGGAGTACAAATTAACTTTGTTTACAAATAAAATTTACAATCGCTAGCCCAATATATCTAAATTGTTAATAGTTGACTAATGTAGCTACTATAAGAGTCAAACTTAGTACAGGGTATGTTTATTAATTGGAAAATTTCTCTAGTTTTCTGGAAAATTAGAGAATTGAAAAACAGAAAACAGAAAACATGTTTAATAGCATTGATGGGATATGGACCCAGAAGATCGGACGGTCACCGCGGTTGGTCAACCGATGACGGAAATCACCGCCGGAGAAGAAGAAGATGCTTTCCCTTGTGCGCCGATCTCGTGTGCGCCGCCTAGATCAAAAAGGCGGGGGGGGGGGGGGGATCAAATTTCAACTAGGAACGAGATCAAAAAGGCTTGATTCAAGCCCGATTTCGTGTGTGCCGCCGAACCTGTCCTGTTGTGATCGTTGGGTGGTCAATTCAGCTGTTACGGAATTAATTCCAATAATGGTTGCTGGTCAATTCAGCTGTTATAGAATTAATTTCAATAATGGTTGCTGTTACAGGAATGTGGAGTGGTGCCCTTAAGTGCCTATTAAAAGCTATTTAATCTCTCACCCCTATAGTGCCTATTAAAAGTTATTTAAACACACAACAAGAAAGTATCATTTTTTTGCCTCAAAACTCTCTGCTTCTACTCTTTCTTAAGCCTACTGTGTTCATAACTTTGCTTTGTTCGCCGGATTCCTTGTTTGGGTGTTCAAACATTGAATCACATCAAGTTTTATCCTAGGAAGCCTAGACCACACCGCTCCTAGCACTTTTGGGAGGTGGCAAATAAGGTTTTAAGGAAAGAGTAATCGTTTGACTCTTGCTAAAAACCCAACACCAAACACTAGTCAAATTCTCCATCTTTCCTTCCCTTCTTTTCCAGGAAAATAATAATCTTATTTTAATCGGATTATTATTTGTTTTCAACAACGGATATCTAACAGATAAGAGTGTGTGAGAGAAATAAACGGAAAAGTAATTAGAATATCATTAAAGGCATTTAATACTCATAATTAGTCATTAATTGTAGTCTGTTGGGTCCGAGTCCTGCTCTCACTCGAACCCCTATATATTGCCTCTCAAGGCACTGTACAAAGGACCCCAAGCTTTCTAAATATACATACTACTTTCCGGCAAACGACATACTAAATCTTTCATATTTTTCGGTGATTCACCAACTTTCCTGGTTGTGTTGGACCCCCGGTAGGCTTCCCAAAAGTCTAGAAACCAACACTGACACCGTGTGTGGAGAGCTGACAAGAAGTCACGTATCCTCTTTGTTGAGTAATTCGGAAGAAAACAAGACAAAAAGAACTTTAGCACCTCAAGGAAAATAATAAAAAATGGCAGGCGAAAGAACACACAACCTTGCTTTAGGAGGAAGCCATGCTTGAACAATGAGCAAGACTTGCGTGATCGATTGAGCCGACAGAATTCACAAGAACAAGGAGGCAGCCTAACTCGTCAAGAGGTGCATGTAATACAACCACCACCGCCACCGGTAGTACCTACAGTGGTCCCAACAGTTCCACTCTCACCAGCCTTAATCGAAGTCATCGCACAAGTAGTGGAGGCCCGTGTTCGTGGGCTGGTGGTCCCTCCCGCTCCACCTATGCCAGTTGTACGACAAGCTAACCGCATCCGACCCTCTGAACAAGAGGGCGGGGACAGGAAAATTCGACGACCCAATTCTATGCACTCTAAGTTGGAGCCTAAAACCTCACGTCGCTTGGCCCATGATCAGCTGGGTGAGAGAGTTTCCGCCGAATCGTCCCTGATCAACAGAGAGAAGGAGTCATAGGAGACGTTGTATCTGCTCGTGTAACCTTAAGTTAGGGGTGTCAAAGTGGGCCGAAGTCCGCGGGTTAGCCCACACCCGCCCCGCGATGGGGCGGGTTAGGGCCGCAAGAAATTAGGCTCGCGAAAATGCGGGCCTAACGGGTTGGCCTGCGGAGGGCTAGAGCTCGGGCGGGCAAACCCGCCAGGGTTGCGGGCCGACCCGCGGGCTAAGCCGTATTTAAAAAATAAATAAATAAATAAATATATAAATAAATAAATATATATATATATATATATATATATATATATATATATATATATATATATATATATATATATATATATATAATATCTTTTAAAAAAAAAAAAACTATATATATAATATCTTAATTCTTAGGCAGTGTGTAGATCTGACTATCTAATAATCCTTCGCCAATTCTTAATTCAATAATTCCTAGAGTACGTAGTTCTTCGATTCTCCCGTCTCCATCCGCCTCCAACTCTATCAAACAATTACTAAAACTAAATCATCAATTCATAAATATTTATAAATTACTAAATCGCCTCCAAGTCCAGCAAACATACATATTTATATATGTATTATACACAGACGGGAACTGTAGCGAGAAAATCGGAAGCCGAGAGAGAAATAGAGTATGTTGTTGAACCCTAGCTTTGATCACCCTTCTACAGTTCTGCTCAACGCGCGGTATCGATCCGAGAGATTTTGACGAGGTTTATGGATTTTATGGAAGTTTCACGTGCATTGAGGTGTATCATACACCATGAGGATGCGAAAGAACGACCAATAAATAGTGTCATATTTCAAGCGGTTTTAACATGTTTATATACTATTTAATGTTTTTTTTTTTTAATTTAAGTGATAGCCCGCGGGCTGGCCCGTAAAAGCCCGCCAAATAAAAAGCCCGTGGTGGGGCGGGCCTAATGAGGCGGGCTGGCCCGCATTGACACCCCTACCTTAAGTAGACGAGAGCGCGGGAGAGAAGATGCGCGAAGGCGGGAGGCTGAGTCCCGAATGGAGGCGAATGCCGAGTCTACTAGCAAACAAGTCACTGGTCTTAAGAGACTGGACTCTCTTCTTTAGTTCAGTCAGGAAGGCGAGAGTCTGCAAAATAAGAGCAAAGACATTAGGGTACTGATGCCCCAAGGTTCTAGGAAAAATTACTAAAGGGAAACTCACCCAATAAGCTTGGAGGGTGATCCCGTCCATGATTGTATTCTCAGAAAGTCTCCCGAGCAGAGCCACGTCATTGGGAAAGACCACACTGTCCAGCCAAGTGCTAACTGGGAAGTCCTGTAACACCCCCCAAAAAGAAGACTACTTAAAACGAGTCTTAACACCTGCAGATCAAGCACAAAACTAGCACAGCGGAAGATAAAAAGATAACTGGATAAAAGGAATCCAAAACGGGGTGTTATGCCACGTATACCACACTAGGTATACGCTACGGCGACAATCTGCAAGTGTAACACTATCCCAAAAATAACCAAACTAGAACAATCTAAAGACATTGGCACACAGGCCTCAACAACACTGTCTAAAGATACAGGTGCTAAGCTACCGGCTCTAGACATCGCGCTCGACTACGCATCACCTGAAAGATACAAAGATAAACATCGCCCGGTCAGCGAAAGATGCTGGTAACCCACCAATACCGTTAAGTATCATAAATAGGTAGATATATAATGTGAAAACCATTTTCGAAACGGAATACATATATATAAGTCAAAAGCCAAGATCAAAAGACAACACAAGACTCACCACTCACAGGGATAACACCGGGAACACGTCCCCACCACAAAGGTTAACCACACACAAGGATAAAGACTCACCAAACGGCAACACATGCCAAAACACCACACCACAAGCCTCCGTGACTACACATGTCACGAGAGAAGAGAACTCACCACAACAACGGCTTCACAAGCCCTCGTGACATCACCCATCACGAGTTGATATGCCTTCCTTATGCCCTGTTCCAACCTTATGGCTACCCCCAACCTTGTACCTTCGGTGCCAACCATTACCTCCAGAAAGCCCCTGTACAGCCAAGTCCAACCTTATTCCTCCGGGACCGTCGTCCCCACCTATAACCACCAACGAAAACCCACCAATTCACGGCAACACATGCCCGGATAACACAATGTTATCCCCCAAACACGTGGACTCAGCCACAACTCCATGAAATCACGTCACAGCCACCACGAGGACCGCTGCAATACCTTGGTGACTAGCGTCCCATACCACTAATCGTGCAATCCAGGTAAAGCCACACACGCACCACCACTCACACGAAACAAGCAACGGATTGCAAAAGAAGGTATGAAACATACTCAATCAAGAGACAGGTCACCACCCATCGACAACAACGACGCTAGCATTAAGATAATAACTAGCAAGCCCAACAACGAGGAAACTCAAGATAGTTCCGAGGAACACACAAGACACCACACGGTTCAACGAAACACAATGTTGAACACTTAGCACGATTCACAACACCAAAGATCCTACATGGATACCTACCATAAAGCTCTAGACCTACGAAACATCAAGAAGACGCTCAAATAGTTCCACAAAAAAACAACGGGAGGCCAAAAGATCAAAGACCGAGACAAACAAAACACGGGGAACAAATCCCATCTCAACTCCAACGTGTTCCCCGCGGGTAGACCCACGGGTAGGCCCCTACCGGTGGTTCTGCCCGCGGGTACAACACCCACATTCCCGTGTACCGGCGGGTGGGCGGCGGGTAGGGCTCTCCCCACCGTTCCGCCCGCGGGTACACGCTCCTGTGTCAAACAATCCCTTCGGGGATTTTCTCCTTCAAACACAAATTAAAGTCCAAAACATGCCAAATCTCACCAAGCACAAAAAAATGACTTGAACCAAGGAAAATGCCAAGCAATGGCACAAAGGAAACCTAAACACAAGCTCTAGATATGCAATATCACAAGATAAATGCATAAACTCTCACATTTCATAGCAAAACACATGTAG